GCTTTCTGCAGCTGCGTCTGCATGGCTACCGCGCCAGCCTGCTCATGTCCACGCTGCGCAACCTGGCCCACTTCCTGGAGGACGACACGGCGCCGCAGGTGCTGCCCATGGAGATCAGCGTACAGGACATGCACATACACTTGAAGGTGAGCGGCGGGAAAACTTCACGGTACCCAAACGGAAGTCTAAGGTGACTTGAGAAACAGTTGATACGATTCGTTGTGTGTTTTCTTTGCCGCAGGACGACGGCCAGCGTGACACCCCATCCGAGGCGGAGCCCATCACGCTACACGTGGACAGCCTGCTCATCCACCGACGGGACGACGGCGCCTTCTACGTCGGAGGTGAGACCACCTGCACGTGAGGCTTTGATAAGCCGAGGTTAAATAACTCTGCTCGTCTCCTCCCCCTCATAGTGGACACGGAGGCCAAACGTTCGGTGACGGCGGATGGCGCCTTGAGTCCCGTCACCGAGGTCACCGTCGCCGAGGCCACGCAGACCCGCGCCTTATCCGCCAGCCCCACAAAGCATGAACAAGTGAGTAAGGGCCGTTGCGGGCGTTTTTCGACGCACACGTTACACGACGACTTCTCCCGCAGATGCTGACGGATGAGAACGAATGCCTGAAAGTGGAGCTGTCCCGGGCCAAAATGGCGCTGGCCGAGGTTCAGATGGAGAGGGACTCGCTGCTGCACCAAATCAACAGCCTCAAGGTCAACACCAGCTAGCCGCTCGCCACGTGGAGCTAGTTTTTTTCCTAACTTAATAATTCCTTCATGGAGCAATGCAGAGACTCAAGTAAAGTACTTTTTTTTTTTTTTTTTAAATTCCAGCAAAATGATGTTTTAGTGTGTTATGATGTGGGTTTGGACAATGGTTGCGTCAAATCTTCTTAGTGAATGTTTCTGAGGAATGTCGCCGAGAAAAGATCAGTTTTGCACATCCTGCTCTTATTTTTGTGTGTGTGCGTGCGTGTGTGTCCTATCAGAATGTGAGAGCGCTTTTGTACACAGATCTGAACGGTTCCACAGTGTTGAATGTGCGCGTGTTGTTGAGAACAAGCATTTCATTCCCCAGATGAGTTTTTCTGGGTTGGGCCACTTCCCAGCTATTTTTATAGGAAACGTGTACAGCGTGTACACCCGCACAGCTTCGCCTCATTGATCTTTGTGCATCTTTCTGCGTGGTTGGCCGCCATCTTGTTTGAACTGTGTAAAAACGGAAGAATATTATCATGTCATATTTTGTCTGTCAAAGCTGCTGAAATGCTGATTAAAACATGTGGGCGGGGTGAAAAAAGACCATCCACTCAGACATCTATTTTGGCAGAAAGTCTTCCTCACTCATTTTAAAATGTTTTATTTAGTCTTGATTTTTTTTTCATTATTAAAAAAAACGTTTACATTGAGAATTTGTAATAATTCTAGCTTCAAAAGAAGCGTGGCGCTACGCATCCTCCTATTAACGAGCGTCAAGTGGCAGCTGCTGACACAATTTCCCAATTCAGCATGTTCAACATTTTATTTTGAAGTGTCGAACAAAGGCAAGGCATCCTTTGTCTTGTCTTCCACGCACAGACTGTAAGTCAACCGTCCTTGTGCAGAGAAGGAAAATGATTACTCAAGTAAAACACAGAGCCACTCGCATGCAGACACGGTCACGGCAGAGTATCTCTTTCGCTTTGCAGGTGGTGACAGGTAGTGGATGATGACAGTTACGTTTTTCCCTCGGCTCCAAGTGTCATGTGATTGTCATCACATGATCCTGTTGAGACTCGCACCGACTGCGTCATCATTTTCAAACAGATGGTGGAGAATGATCAATGCCAAACACATTGCGTGGCTCCAGGCGAGGCTGGAGCTTCTGTGCTCATTCCCATAAATGCAAAACTGTAATTCAATGAATGACTAAGAAGAAAAAAAAAAGAGAATCAGTGGAAACCCCCAACTTTATTTATTTGTTTGTTTATTTATTTGATCAAAACATTTGTTTTAATTCACAATAGGTTGCTAATCAGTATGTCCTACGCCGGGAGGATGTCAGTGGGTTTTGAAATTTGTTACGGGCTATTTTCAGAGAATGTACAAATAAATGTTTCCTACTCAGATTCAGTTCGGAGAGTTGAAATGGTTGGGAAAATGTAACTGTTAGCAACTTTCGGATGGAACCCAGCAGTTCCAAATCTTTTTGCATGCGCTGCACCACTCGAAATATCATATATATGCTCTTATAATGAATACCATGGGTGTATCCTTTGACTTAAAACGACACATTTATACAATTTCTTACTTTAAAAAAATAACTGAATGAACGCACAGCACAAGAGCAAGACCATGATTTTGTAAAAAAAACATTATAGAAATGCTCTAATAGACCTTAAATTACAGGTATGGGGGTGGGGTGTAATTTTTAAAGTGGATTTAAAAGCATTTCCACTTAGAGCTAACTTCAGTTCTGTCGGCAGCCTATTCCATTTGCAGCATAACAACTAAATGCTGATGCATTGTGTTTGCTCGGAACTCTGGGCTCCACTAATTGCCCCAAGTCTCCTGACCTCAGAACCCTACTGGGTTTATATTCCATGAGCATTTATTTCATGTCTTGAGGACCTAAGGCGATCAGTGATTTTTGGAACAGTAGCCTCATTTTAAAATTTATTTTCCAGCTGATTGGGAGCCAGTGTAAGTCTTTTGAACTGGAGTAATATGTTCTGATCGCTTTGTTCCGGGAAAAATCCGAGCTGCAGCGCTCTGAATGAGCTGCAGCTGTTTGATGCTCTTCTTAGGCAGTTAAGTAAGGTCTAACTTGGTTCTCAGTCCGATGCAGTTCAGCAAATGGTGCAGGTTGGGCGTCCATCTTAAAAGGGTTTGTGTGTGCTTGCACCCCCAGGCCCCCAGCAAGCAGGTGATGCACTCCTGGTTGCAGCAGCTCCAACAGAAGCGTTGGGAGTTCAGCAACTCGCGAGGCTACGGGCAGAGGGACAGCTGGAGCTCACCCACCTTAGCCTACCCGATCAGTGGGCTTGTAGCCGAAGACAATGGTACGAAGGTACACACACATACGCGCGCGCTCACACACACACAGTCTGATGGGTTGATATTTGCACATTGTTATCATTGTTATCATAAAGGATATATTAATCTTAATTACTTTGTTGCCAGTCTGCCAAGGCAATGCAGAAACCCCAGAAAAAACACCTGTGGTTGAAAGGCTTTAATGAAACATTTTCAGCCCGAAAAATCCTTGCCGTGTGTTTGTTTTTTTCTCTCCATTGCACTGTGATGATATGCGAGTGGGGGGGGGGGGGGGGTTGTTGTAGATAAGACCCACGAGGTCAGTCAAACATTCAATGAAGTCTACCGCCAGCTGCTGCAAATTGTTAAACATTCCAAGTTTTTGGGACTGAATACTTAATATTGAGGAGACATTTAATGAAAAAAGTATGCAAGTTCAGTAATTTGTCATTTTACTGCATTTGTTTCAATGGTTTTCAAATTATAAAGTGGTGCCTGCTTTACACTACACTGTCGCAACACATGAGATTAGATTAGTTTGGACAGGTTAGCCTCATGCATCCATCCATCCATTTTCCGATCCGCTTATCCTCATAAGAGTCGCGGGGGGTGCTGGAGCCTATCCCAGCTGTCTTCGAGCAGTTGTCGGAGTGCACCCTGAGCTGGTTGCCGGCCAATCACAGGGCACACATAGACAAACAACCATTTACGCTCACAATCACACCTCGGGACAATTTTTGTCTGTTCCATTAACTTGCCGTGCATGTTTTTGGAATGTGGGAGGAAATCGGAGTACCCGGAGAAAACCGACCAAGGCAAGGGAAGAACATGCAAAGTCCACACAGGAAGGCTGGAGCCGGAATCGAACCCTGCACCTCTGCACTGTGAGGCCGACGTGCTAACCAGTCGCCCACCGGGCCGCCTCTCACACGTCCATGTTGCAATTTTGACTTGTCAGCTCCGCAGTTACTGTGTCTCCCTTGTTGTTAACTGATTGTGTCCCTTGTTGGCTAAGAAAAGCAACATAATGTGTGCTTGTGTGTGTGTGTGTTTCATGCTTTGTAAATGAAATATAACCATTTAAACTCATCAGTCTAATCTGTTCCAAAGCGCTGAGCAAAGAATTGGTACACACGCTCAATTTGGCGAGCTCTAGCCGTATGAAAAATCCGGTCTTAACAAAAATAACAACGGTCACCGCTTGGACTGCTAAAACCGGCGTTCATATATTCGAATGAATTATTATGGCTGTGGTTTGCATTGTTGTGGAACTGTAATGCATCATAGTGAGAGCGGTTTCTGATATTTTGCTCATCTTATTCGTAGATATCAGAATGGGGGGGGGGGATTAAAAATGATTTAACAGTACCGTATGATAATTATGACTGTGAATTCCAGATGCGTTCCTCTTTGAGAAGCTCAGCGACAGCATGGAGAAGGTCCGCAGTGACTTTGCCTTGGAGTCCGAGACTGAAGGCGGTGGAACGGTTGGCATCCAATCGGCAAGAGGGACGTCCACTTCCACAAATACCCTCAATTTCTCGCTCAAGAATTTTGGTACAGAGCTCAGGTTGGTCCTTTTTTTGTCGAATGTTTCAACGCTATATCGCGGTCGCCGACCACAGCCCTGCTCCATTGAAGATTTTCGTGTGGAACACACCGACAGCAGATGTTTATTGAAAGCTTGGAGAGCATTTAATTTTTTATTTTTTTTTATATTCAACTACATTGACAATATTTTTCCAAAGTGTGTTTTAATCATGTGTTTTAAAAATGTGTGGATCTGTAAATGATTAATCCGGTCACGGTTTAAATACATCACGTCTATCCCCGAGTCCCTGCTGAACAGGCAAAACAAGTTCTGGTGTGAAGAGGGAAGGCATTGCCCCCCTTGCTTCTTTTTAAGGTGGATTGCATCTTGCAAGAGAGGAAATTGTTACACTCCCTTGCTGTTATCGGTCACTGACATGAACAGTTCCCCTTCTGTGGCAAACAACATGATTCAACACTCAAATGACAGCGATCTGACATGCGAAGTGCCACATTTGTGCCGTCAGAGCGATTTAAAAAAAAAAAAAAACCTTGTCTGTCACGATGTATCTTGTGGCGTTTTTCCGCAACAAGCGACTCCCAATGTCAAACCTTTATTGAATCAGATGACCTCACAGTGTTTTCTTTGTCAGGAATGAGTCAGGCAAAGCTGACTAGGTTGTGTCCCTTTAGGAACTCCATGTCATATCTGCGACCGGGTCGGGGAGGCGAGAGCAGACGCAGTGTGTTTTACACCGGCAACAACAGCAGTGCAGATGATTGGGAGCTGGTGGACGCTCCACCCAAAGACTTCCCCGAACACAAACCTCATCCAGACACTCACAGGCGTACGTCCACAACCTCTTACCTCACTACGCTACCTCTCTTTGCCTATGCTTCTTGTTTTCATAAAGTCAATTGAATGGAAAAAAAAAAAAAAAAGAGTCTCGACATCTTGTCTCTCAGATTCCTTTGGATCGGCGTTTGAATTTGTGCGCAACTCGTCGAGGCCGAAGAGGCCTCTCCTCCGTGAAATGATGGGCTCCGGGAAGTTTGGCCGCAACGCGGCCGAGATCCGCAGTGCAGAGAGCTCCCCAGTGGAGTTTAACGGCAAGTTTTTGGAGATGCAACTTCGTCTCCAAAGCCAGCAGGAGGAAGTGTGTCGCATGCAACAGGATCAAGCCAAACTCAAGGAGGAGCTGGTCAGTCAGAAGGTTAGAAAGGATGAAATCAACCTTGATTCACTGACGCAGAGCTCGTTTGTGGTTTAGACTTTTTTTTTTTTTTAATGCGGGGGCGGGGCGGGTGTAAGCATCCATCCATCCAGTCTGCTCAGGGCTGCAGGGGAGCTGGTGGCATGACCCAAGCAGTCTATATTTGGCCCTGCTTGCGAAGTGCAAGAACAGGAAGTTTCTGGTGCCTTTTTCCACTAGTTTAGTCCAAGGTTACAGCTAAAACTAAAATTGAAAAAACGTTTTCGTTGACAAAATAATATAAAAACACAAATGCTTTTCAACAAAAACTGAAACTACATCTTACGTTTGTAAAACTGGTTATAACTGAAGCGAAAAAGTTCCTAGTTTCCGTTTTTGTCAGTTCATACAGCTTTCAGGTGTTTTTCCCCCCAGTGTATTTATTTCAGTCTTGCTGTATATCTGTACAGAAGAAGGAAGATCAAAGAGTCATTTGAGAATTGTCTCTTTTTTTATGCAATACTTTGTGACCTTTTTTTTTCTTGCACACAAGAAGAACTCCATATTTTAAAACAAAATAAAACGAACACTAAAACTAATAAGAAAACTCAAATAAAGCATTAAAAAATAGAAACTAATAAAAAAAACTGTTCTAAAAGCTAATTAAACCTCACTGCATTAAAAAAAAAAAAAAAAGTAAAAACGAAATAAGACGAACTGTAATGACAAATCCCAAACTATTGTAATGTTGGTTTGGATGCAAAATAGGCCACAGCTTGGAAATATGTATTTCTCACTATTTAACTCATTCAACATACATATACACATACAGAGTGGCTGCCTTTACAGCAGCTCCTATACTTTTTGTCCTTCTACTTTCTTCCTTTCATAACTTTGCTGCTGTAAATTGGAAATTTTTCCATTGTGAGACGAATAAAGGTTTTCTTATTCTTATTCTTATCTTCACATTCCACTAGTATTTGTTGTAGTTTAAATTTCACATTTGACGTGGCTTCAATGACGAGACCCCCAGATCATTTTCACGTTTGTCACCGTTGTTGCCTGATATTGCGTTAATCAAATAAAAATGTATTCATTCAATCAGGAGCTGGTGAGACTATTGCAGCAGACCTTAAGAACATCCCAGAGCGATCGCCAGCCAGCACATCGTCCACTGCCGCCTTCCGATTTATCGTCCGCCGAGTCCAATCAGACTCACCACCAAGAAGTAAGCCCGGAGGAGCTTGCACGTTTAGAGGCCCATGTTGAGGAACGAGATGGACAGATCCAGTCCCTGTGTGGCCATATGGAGCGTTTGGCCTTGGAGAAGGAAAGCCTCCAGAAAGAGCTGAAGGGTCTAAAAATCAAGGTTGGGGAGATAAATGACCAGCTGGGCATGCTGATGGAGACCATTCAGGCCAAAGATGAAGTCATCATGAAACTGTCGCAGCAGAGCTCTGAGCTGAGCGGGACTCCAAATGATGGTTCACCGCCTCCCAGAAAAGATCAACAGGAACTGGACATCCTCAAGGTACCGCAGTCCACACAAGACTGCTCAGCTGTCCTCAATGTTTTTTGGGCCATGGTTCGGTTTCACAAAAAGTCATATTTTTCTCATTTAAAATGGATGTCGTGGCACAATAAAGGTGAAATTTATCTTCTCCTTTCTTGATTTGATCTTACGATGCATTTCACTTTCAGGACAGTCTTCAAGGGTATAAAACCCAAAACAAGTTTCTAAACAAAGAGATCCTGGAGCTGACAGTGTTGCGCCGAAATGCTGAAAGTCGTGAGAAAGCCTTGGAGGCAAAGGTACAGTACAGTACTGTTGGGTGTATTGCTACGAAAAGAAAGAGGAAGTCTGAATCATTCTTCGGGGAAGTCCACTATGACTTATTCTCTTTTTATTTTATTTTTTATTTTAACTGTGTAGTACACAGCCCTGGAAGCCAAGCTGTGTCAGGTGGAGAGTAAGTATCTGGTGCTGCTACAAGAAGTGAAGAACCCAGTGTGCTCATCTTCGGAGCCGAGTCCTGCTGGGGAGGTCATCTCCCGATTGTTGGAGGACGCCCTACAGTTGGAGAGCCCCGAGCAGGAAGAGAACCATGTCTTTAGACCCAACACTGTCAGGTATCAAATAGACACACATTTAAGTGCTCCCACACAATACATAATAAAGTCAGCCTTAGTTTTTTTACTTTTATTTTACACATAATTAAGTCTCACTACAAACTTTGTAAATATGGTCTCACGTTGCCCACTCATAAATAATGGAAAACATGTCATTGAGTAAAACACAAACATTCTAGTCACCGGACCTCTGAAATGAGGAAAGAGCCTCATTAAAGGGGCTTGTCTGCTATGCCCATATTTGGATTTCCTAATTTCTAAGCGTTGCCTGTGGGATCTCGTCAGTGGCCAGTGTGAGTTTTAGTGTATCTCTGTCACTGTATGTTTCATTCAATTATAGAACAAATATTTTTCCCCCTTGGTCTCGCTACTGAAATTGTACGAGAAGTGGGAATGATGTGGTGTCCCGTTTGTGGATTAAACTGGGGTGGAAATGAACGAATGATTTTAGAGACATAATGTGTGTGCATAGTGCGCACCAGCGTCAGAGCAATGTGCAGTTGCTCAGTTTAAAGGGAAAATTGCAGCTCACCAAAATCTCAATTCACCAATTCAGCAAATTAGAATGCTACATAAGAAAGAACAATTTTTAAAATATCACAATTAGGAAAGAATTCTGACACATTGTAATTGTTTATGATTTTTTTTTTTTTTATTTCACAATTCAAAAGCAATGTGTGATTTCCGTTGGTTAAGTTTCATAAAATGTTCATTTATTAGTATTTTTCTCAGATTCGCTGTGGTTGTGACCACTGTGGTGGTTTTCTTTAATGAACAGAGTTTTCCCAACAATTTTGTCCATGTGTGTAGATATTTAATCTAACAAGTCCAAAACCTGGCTGGTGTCACATCTCCCACCTCAAATTAAGGCCACCTCTCCTTTGTGATGTCATCAACAGCGAGTATGACGTGTACGGTTTCAAGACGTTGCCCGAGGAAGAGGAAGAGGAGGAGCGCCTCGTCGCCAAAGTGAGAGCCTTGGAGCTCAAGTCCCTCTCCTTGACGGATCAGGAGGTGTCTGTCGGCGTCAAGTGGGAGAACTATCTGGCCGGCACCATGAACCGGAACTTGGTTCGCTCCCCCGAGCTCAAAACGCTGATTCGCTGCGGTATTCCCCACGAGCATCGCTCTCAGTTGTGGCGCTGGTGCGTCTCCCTCCACGTCAAGAAGTTCCGGGATCACTTGGCGGCCGATTATTATGAAACGTTACTGAATGTGGCCCGGGACAAACCCAACCCTGCTTCGAAGCAGATTGAGCTGGATTTATTGCGAACTTTACCCAACAACAAGCACTACTCTTCTCCCAGTGCGATCGGCATCCAGAAGCTCAGAAATGTTCTGGTGGCTTTCTCCTGGAGAAATCCGGACATCGGCTACTGCCAGGGACTAAACAGGTAGTTAAGTACTTCTGTCTCAGCTCAGATGGAGGGGGATTACGTATGATTTTTTTTTTAACCCTTTCAGGGACAGCGGTTACTACAGTAGACAGCTTATGTTACCAGGTTACATTAGCAATGTCAAACATACGGACCGCGGGCTGAAACCGGCCCCCAAGGTGGTTCCATCAGGCCCACAGGATCATTTAAAAGTGAAAAAATGCATAATAGACATGGAATGAATATTTTTTTATAAGGTGCAATTCATGAAGTATCCGCAAGGGGACACACTGTTTTGATCAGAGTAGAAGACAACATTGTTTTGATCAGAGAAGAAGACAACAGCAGTCTCAGTCTGTCACTGAGACAGACCCAACACAGCAGACGTGATTAAGGACATGTGAATACTTTATTCTTTACACATTTAATAGCACTCGCCTTAGTTTGTAAGGTGTAGGCTGGGATTAAATTTCGATTTTATATGCACATGTGGAAATGGTTTAAAAATTCCCATAATGTGAAATGAGTTTGACACCCCTGGGTTACATTGTGCATGAAAGGGTTCATATTAATTCTACTTTACTTGGTCTACTGGTGATACAACAAACATGCAGAGGACATATGGTTCTTCTATTTTTAGTTTGACTTTTTCACGACACTATAACTGAAATTCTCTGCTGATTTGCAATACAAGTAACATAGCCTATAGGAGGTTAGTGTACTTATAGATGCCCAAAGAGGCAAAAGAGAAGTTTCTGACTTTTGACATGTGACACAATATTTATGTACTTCCCATATTTTGCAGCCGATATATACTTTTCACCCTCAAACTACCCATTTTAAGCGCATCATGTTTGATCTAAATGATAATGTGTTGGGTTTTTTTTTTTCTTCATTAGATTGGCAGCTATTGCGTTGCTGTATTTGGACCAAGAAGATGCCTTTTGGAGCCTCATAGCCATCGTGGAAGTGTTCATGCCGAGAGATTACTACACCAAGACTCTGCTCGGCTCGCAGGTACACAAACATGCGGGTGTGTCGTGAGTTTACGAGCGGGCAAGTCAAGTCCAAAACATCCGGAATAAAAATATCTTTTATGCAGCAAATGGATGGATATACAGTATATCTATCTATCTATCTATCTATCTATCTATCTATCTATCTATCTATCTATCTATCTATCTATCTATCTATATATATAGAGAGAGAGAGACACACACACACACACACACACACACACACACACACACACACACACACACACACACACATTTTTCAAACTTGCGCAGCCCTAATTAAATCTTCATACGCAATGGCACGTCTGCGCAGGTGGACCAGCGTGTGTTCAAGGACTTGATGAGCGAGAAGCTACCGCGACTCCACGCCCACTTTGAGCAGCACAAGGTGGACTTCTCGCTCATCACTTTCAACTGGTTCCTGGTGGTGTTTGTGGACAGCGTGGTCAGCGACATCCTCTTCAAGATCTGGGACGCCTTCCTCTACGAAGGTCCAAAGGTCAGATGGTCCACCAAATTCTGGGCAGACTGTTAGGTGGAGTATCCTCATAGCATTCATGCCCCCTCCCATGCTTCCTTTTGACGCTTGGGGAAAAATATTGATTTAAAGAGGAGATGATTGCAGTTGTAGCTTGTGGTCAGTTATGTTGAGAACAAATATTGCATTTAAATTCACGTCATCGGTATAAGAATGACTTATTTGCCAACTTCCCTCGACAGATTATATTTCGCTTCGCCCTTGCTCTCTTCAAATACAAGGAGGAGGAGTTTTTGAAGTTGCAGGATTCCACCACGATCTTCAAATATCTCCGTTATTTCACTCGCACAATCCTTGATTCCAGGTAAGGGAAAACTCCAGCTGTCACTCTGACTGGGATTTGCTGTGTAAATGAAGCCATTATAGACTTTTTTTTTTTAATGCACGTACTGGGTGATACTACAATAACTCAAATTTCTGCTAGCAACTCAAGATGAAAAAAAATATGTCTATAAATTGAGATACCACTTTTTTTTTTCTTTTTAGGAAGCTAATGAACATCGCTTTCGTGGACATGAACCCGTTCCCGATGAGGCAGATCCACAACCGGCGTTCCTTCCACCTGGAGAAGGTCCGCCTGGAGCTGACCGAGCTGGAGGCCATCAGGCAGACCTTCCTGCGGGAGAGGGAGACGTCTCAGGACGGACGCAGCTTCGTCAGCGACGACGAAGAGGACAACTGAAAACCGTCTGGTCGGATGTGGTACAGGACAGGAATGTGCTTTGACACAGTTTGCGTTTCATTGTTGCTGGACTAATCAACTTGTGGACCAAAATATCGCAGCCTATCAGTATTCCTGCCTTTTTTCCATTTTTATGTTTTACATTGCTCTTGTGTCTTTACAATACAACTTGTCTTAACGTGGCTGTCCGAATCGGTTTTTGTTTCATTTGTGGCTGTAACATTTTATATGTACATGTGCATCTCAATCAATTAGTCAGTTGTGGAAAATGCCATTTTAGTGCATTTCAAAAAGTAAAAACATTATATAGATTCACTGCACACGGAATGAAATATTTCATGATTCTATTTCGAATTTTGATGATTAATAGCTTACCGCAAGCCAAAACTCACAATTCAAATTTCAAATATGTAATGTAATATTCCAGTTTTTTTGGGCCCCTTCTGAAAACTATTTCTGATTTTCACTTTTTGAACACCAAAAATAAACGTTTCTATGATATTCTAATTAATTAAGATGCATGTGTATGTACGTATTACATTTTGAAGGTTGATGTCATGACCACACAGCATGCCACTCTACATTTGCACCTAAATACCACTTGATCGCCTGTTTTGCTTAACTATTGTCAAATTTGCTCGAAAATGTATTCGATTCTGGTGCACACAACTCTTTCATTGTTTTATCCCAATATGTTTTTTATTTTTACATGACTTTTTTTAAATAAGTTGACCCCTCAGAATAATCAAGTTTGGTATTTTGTGACCAGGTCACACAACTGATGTGTGTGTGGACCGTTTCTGGCACGCTTGAACCGATTTTAATTTTATTAACTTCAAAGAAAATATTGTTTGATGACAACTTGTTGAAACGAAAAAAATGTTTGGGCCAGGACACCTGATGTGTGTTGATTGTTTTGCCAGTGCTTCCTGGACTTCAGTGCTTTTTCCTTTCATCAACTTGAACATTTTTACAAATGTCACAAAACTGTCTTATCCCCCCCCCCCCCCACCCCCAAAAAAAACACATTACCACTTATTTCCAACCATTTCTTAGCTGGACGATAGTAGCTGCTGGGACTGTTTTTTTGGGGGGGGGTCGCTCTTGCCGATGTAGTTTCATTCCATGTTCGCAAGGTGGCAGTGCAGAGTGGCTGTAGTTTCATTCCATGTCCGCAAGATGGCAGTGCAGAGTTTCTGTTCAGGCTTGCATGCTGTGTTTTATTTTTAAGCTGTTTCACTGTTTTTTCGGTTTCAGATGAAAACGTTGTTTTGTGGCTGAAGTCATTCAGTGGCACATTTGTTCTTTTGAGATGATTTTACTTTTCGATCTGAACACCGCTATTACGTTTGAAAGAAACAAATGTGGGTTTGGTCCTATGAATAAGATGCCAACAGGTGTCTCCTCCTCACTTGCCTTCTGTTTGTGCTGACGTATTGTTCCGATAGTCATTTTTTGCACGGGAAATGCTGTTAGATTTCTTTGCTGTCTCTTATTCTTGTGATGTCCGCCAGACTAATGTGACATTGTTTTTGGTTTGAATTTCAAACTAATGGAAATGAAAAGGACGAGAGCAGGGCTCCCTTAACATTTTCCAAGAGAGAGGTTACATTGTGTGATCCCCCCCAACATTTGCCACTTTACAAAGACTAAGCTCCATTCCAATACATGTTTTTCCCTTTCTGTTGCTCGTTTTTGTCAGCATTCTATTGCACACTTCCGAATACAGTTCCCTTCAACGTTACCTGTTTATTGTTGCAGTGCGAAAGGTACGTCGTAGTTTGTCATTCTGTTCAAGACATGTTAATGAATAAAATTCAAATGACTGATTGTGTTGTGAGTAAAAGCGGTCATATTGCTGCAGTAGCACGCTTCCTCTCGTGGGCCTTTTCATAAGAGGAAGCATCAGTGGGAGGGACTTGGAGTCACACAAAAGTGTGATGTTACTGCCATGGCGTGACACAAGACAGACAACACAAGAGGCTGAGTGAGGACACCGGAGCAACCTCTGCATCTCATACAAGGTACCTCAATAAATACATTAGCAGCACTCCCACTACTAACAGTACGCTTTTGCCCTATATTTACAAAGCAAATATTGTCATAACAAGGAGCAGAACTCTTTGGCTAACCTGACCCAATTATCCCCAAAGCTCCTTTTATTCCTCATAATCCTGCTACATTCCGAGCCTCTGAAAAACGGTTCCGCTGATGCTGCTCGGCACTTTTGTAAATTGGATGCTCAATGATTTATTCCAAGATGTAGTGAAAGTGGGTCCGGCTCTGAGATGGAATGCTTCTTGTAGCAAGCCAGGACATGCACAGTGAGAGACCAACAGCAGTCACTCCTTCGTGTACGTTTGTGTGTGCAGGAAAGTGGATTTAGTGGAGCGCACACACTGTGTGGAAGAGATCATCCATATCAATGAGGACACCTGGCATGGCGCTTTTCAAGCAGCAGGCTGTGGAGGACTTCTATGACATCGGGGAGGAATTGGGGAGGTGAGTGCAGTCAACTTCTTTCAATTCAGTCGTTCACACTTTAGGAGGAGGAGTGGCATTCGGCTCTTGACGCACTGCTGCTCTCGTGTGTGTGTGTGTGTGTGTGTGTGTGTGTGTGTGTGTGTGTGTGTGCGCGTGTGTTGTGAAAGAGTCTGAGTCTAATGTGAGAGTGAGTGTGTTAGTGTGTGTGAGAGAAAGGTATTGTTTGTGTGAATTAGTGCTTGTATAAGTGCGTGTGTGTCGTGTGAGAGTGAATATGTGTGTATGTGTAAGTGTAAGGCATTGATTGTTTATAGATGTGAGAGTGTGTTAAATTGTGTGTACATAAAGTGTTGTTTGTGTGTGTGTGTGTGTGTGTGTCCTGTGAGTGTGCATATATGTCATAGTGTAGGTATGTGTGAGAGTAAAAGAGTGTGAGTGTAAGTGTGGGAGTGAGTGTGTGAAATGTGTGTTGGGTCGTGTGGCTGAAAGAGAGAATATATGAGAGAGTGCAAATGAGTGTGTGAAAAACTGACAATGCCATGTGTGTGTTTGTAAGTGTGCGTACAAGCATATGCGTGAGTGAGCGTGAAAGAGTGAGAATGTGTGTGCGTGTGAGCAGCGGCCCTGTAAAACTTGGGAGTGTTGCCCGCGTTTGAGTGAGAGCAGGTCTTAAGGGCAAAAAGCGCAACAAGTCACGATTTGATGAGTCGCCTCATGTGAACGAGCCCCACCTGAGGGTGGAGGATCCTTGTGCTGAGTGAGACTTGGGCAGACCCACTCGACTATAGGACAGACCAGAACTGGCGGCCAAGGAGAAAGTTGGCAGCGCCCAGTCCCATGTGAGGAACCTGCGAGTCCATTTAGCACTGACAGAAATCTTCCCTGGTGACAGATTGACCGGGAGGGAGAGGAAAAGCCTGTCAACGTTTCACTAGTAGTCCAAATGGTCCTCTTGACCCAATGTTTGCTGTCTGTTGTCCCACCCTGACACACTGGACGAACTGGAAAGAGACTGGCAGTCGTGTTTGAATATACTAAGAGAGCAGAGTGCTTAATTTGAGCCTAATGTTGGTGTGTGTGTACACCCCTTCCTTGATCCTTGTCCCGGTTTTGACGGAATCGTGGGCTCGAGTGTCAGAGGAGTCGAGTTTTGAAGTTCCGCTGTATAGTAGTCGTAGTGGGCAAAAGTGTTGTTTTGTATATTTGGAGATGTGGCGGTGGTCTGCGGATTTGCAATTATTGGTTGGTTTGTGGGGTTCTTTTTCTGATTAAGTTTTAGAATAGGGGTAGGCTTCGATTTGTAGCGATACTCACATGCTCGATAATCACAGTGAAGATCGGGGGGGGAAGACATTTGAACAATTGTAAGTTAGCCTGAAGGGAATGAAAACGCAAGTGCATCTTGTGGCATATTATGAGTTCAAACAATTGATGATATGATATTCTGCGTTTTCTATCGGAACCGAATATTGCTATCATTTTATTTCCAGACAGCTCTTGTATTGGATCTCATCGTTTTCTGCAGGGGTACGTCATGCTGTGGCTGCTGGCTGCACATGCCATGCAACACAGTGGTTTTACTGAGAACTCGTTGACGCATTGTCAAAACAAACGTGTCTGAGTATTTTATGACATTTCGCTCACTGCGTAGTTCCTGACCAAATGAAACAAGACCAATGTGTGTAAATTGCAGCCAAGGGAAATGTTTTCAGTCTTCAAGAAGGCTTGAAGACGGCTGGGGCCCGCACTGGGTATGTTGACGTTGGGGGGGTGACAGGAAAATGGTAAATAGAAAAGGGGATTTACACAATACATGAGGGGGTCATCCAGAACACGTAGTCAGTTTAGGAGCCATTCTTGCTGCATGAGGAATGTGTTTACAATTGAGGGAACTCTTTGTTGACCTTTTGCTCATTCCTCTGTTCAAGTCCGATGGAGGTCATCACATAACTGTCAGCAGAATCTGACACGGACACACCTCCCGCAAGGCGCTTTTGTGACCTCATCCTCAAGTCAAACCATTTAAGGTGGTTTCCCTTTGCCCCCTAACACAAAAAATGTGCATCTTTGACAAAAAAATATATTTGATGAGGAGACTGAAATGACATTCAGGAGAATGCGGAATGCGGACCCTTGTCAAAGCCAAGCAATCATATAACATAAAGTTTGTCAATGAAAAAGTGTGGATTTGTTTTTGCACAGTAAAATAATCATATTCAATAAATGCTATTCACAGATGCAAACCAAATTTGCAGAGAATATTTGGAAAAAGCTCTTTTTATAAAGTTAACAAAAATCTATTAAACCTATTAAAAGATCATCCATCTATTTTCAGATGCGCTTTATCCTCACAAGGGTCGTGGGGTGTGCTGGAGCCTATCCCAGCCGTCTTCGGGCAGTAGGCGGGGGACACCCTGAACCGGTTGCCAGCCAATCGCAGGGCACACAGAGACAAACAACCATCTACGCTCACACTCACACAATTTAGACAATTTAGAGTGTTCCGCATTCCATCTGTTTTGGAAGGTAGGAGGAAAGTGAAGTACCCAGAGAAAACCCACGCAGGCACGGTGAGAGAATGCAAACTCGACACAGCAAGGCCGGAGCTGTGTATCAATTCGTGGATACTGTATAGAGCAAATTGAAATGAAAAAAAAAAAAACATTGAAAGGGATATTTGGAAAATGTTTCTTTACCAAAGATGAAAAAAATATAATAAATCATTTCAATCACTATTTCGTGAACAAATCTGTTTTATTTCTTTTAACAATAAAAGTAAACAATAAAGAGTAAGTACAAACTACTCCTGAGAGTGAAGCAAATATAAATGGAAAAAATTAAAATACAAGAATATTTGGAAAGGGGTCTTTTCCCTTTCAACACTAAAATGTGAATAAGAAATACAATTCTTGAATACTGAAAAAAACTTAAATGGGTTGGGAGTGTTAAAAGAATTTTCAACAAATGTTCATTTTGCATAGTTGGGGGGAAAAAAATCAAATAAGAATGAATAATACATATTAAATTGTGTGTCTGTTTAATTCACGAGGAACCAAATTTAAATAGCACAAAATTAAAAGACTATTTGCAGTATGTTCTTTCCCACCCCCCAAAATCATAAAATGTATGTGACTTGACATAAAGCAAAAATGTAACAAATCTTTGTATATTTGGAGATGTGGCGGTGGTCTGCGGATTTGCAATTATTGGTTGGTTTGTGGGGTTCTTTTTCTGATTAAGTTTTAGAATAGGGGTAGGCTTCGATTTGTAGCGATACTCACATGCTCGATAATCACAGTGAAGATCGACAAGTATTTAACACAGTGGTTCTTAACCTTTTAAGAGGTACCGAACCCAACCAGTTAATGTGCACATTCACCGAATCCTTCATGAGTGAAAAATAAATATATAGATTTTTTAAAATAAATTCAAGATACAAAAAAATGCATTTTTTTAAAAACAGAAAAAAGTAAATAAAATTTGAAGAGATAAGTACAGTATACTTTTTTTTTTTTTTAATTGTACGACCTACTATCACGACAGTCGCACGTTGACGACTGAGCGAACTAAATTTCCCGCATTCACCGATTGGACAAGCAACGTCATGTGATCATCTGCAGCCAGTGATAGCCAAGCGGGCGTGTTATAACTAATTAACATGTTGAGTCGCGTGTGCAACAAAACAATGGACGATATTTGACCTGAACATCCTATATTTTTTTTTGGTCGAGTATTTTTAGTATGTTGACATGCTAACACGCAGGATGCGCGTTTGTTTTCATGCGCATGACTTCCTTTCATTTCCGACAGCACGTATAGCCACATCCTCAAGAGACCAACATGCTTATATGTGGACACACGTATTGAGACAGATGGTAACTCATGGGGGGGAAGACATTTGAACAATTGTAAGTTAGCCTGAAGGGAATGAAAACGCAAGTGCATCTTGTGGCATATTATGAGTTCAAACAATTGATGATATGATATTCTGCGTTTTCTATCGAAACCGAATATTGCTATCGTTTTATTTCCAGACAGCTCTTGTATTGGATCTCATCGTTTTCTGCAGGGGTACGTCATGCTGTGGCTGCTGGCTGCACATGCCATGCAACACAGTGGTTTTACTGAGAACTCGTTGACGCATTGTCAAAACAAACGTGTCTGAGTATTTTATGACATTTCGCTCACTGCGTAGTTCCTGACCAAATGAAACAAGGCCAATGTGTGTAAATTGCAGCCAAGGGAAATGTTTTCAGTCTTCAAGAAGGCTTGAAGACGGCTGGGGCCCGCACTGGGTATGTTGACGTTGGGGGGGTGACAGGAAAATGGTAAATAGAAAAGGGGATTTACACAATACATGAGGGGGTCATCCAGAACACGTAGTCAGTTTAGGAGCCATTCTTGCTGCATGAGGAATGTGTTTACAATTGAGGGAACTCTTTGTTGACCTTTTGCTCATTCCTCTGTTCAAGTCCGATGGAGGTCCTCCCATAACTGTCAGCAGAATCTGACACGGACACACCTCCCGCAAGGCGCTTTTGTGACCTCATCCTCAAGTCAAACCATTTAAGGTGGTTTCCCTTTGCCCCCTAACACAAAAAATGTGCATCTTTGACAAAAAAATATATTTGATGAGGAGACTGAAATGACATTCAGGAGAATGCGGAATGCGGACCCTTGTCAAAGCCAAGCAATCATATAACATAAAGTTTGTCAATGAAAAAGTGTGGATTTGTTTTTGCACAGTAAAATAATCATATCATCGCTGCGCTCTTTGTTTCCCCTCTCTTACTGTATACTTCACTGTACCCGATGACATGATTCACATTTCGGCCCGCCACCAAGATAAAAGAACTTCCTCTTTGTAGTTGTGACACACACGGCACATGAGAATTGCTTCCCGCCGGCACTTTTATAGCAAGTACATGTATGATCTTGTCTTTGACTAGAACGGGGTCAACTTATCACTCGGGTCTCAAGGGGGGGGCGCGGGTCCCGTGAACAGAACAAGCAGAGGG